TTGGTGAATTGTTTATATCTATTGACGTATGCTCCCTTTCGATTTTTATAAATTTTAGATTTTACGTTTCCGAGTTATGGGATTTTATTCATAAAAAAAGGGTTGACTAAGTTTTCCCGTTTTCGGACAATAGCTCAAAGGTGCTTTGAGCAGTTTTCACGAAACTTGGGTGACTGGTTTATATCTATTAAAACAACCTCCGTTTAGTTTTTTTTTTTATAAATTTCTGATATCACATTGAGGAGTTATGGAACTTTATTCTTTGAAAAAGCGACGGGCGTATCATGCGCTCATTGCGCAGCTCTTTATTCAGTATTGTTAAAGGACTTTTTCATTTCTACTTTTTTTCATAATATCTTTTATATAGTTTGGTGTTGTTTCCGTACTGAATATCTTAATACGTTACATTTTCAGCACTATTTTGAGTAGCGTGATTTTTCGTTATTGTACGTTTACTTGAAACCTTATTTTGTCACAAAAATGCATCAATTTGAATCATATAATTTCCATTTCCATGATGGTTTCGTTTTTCAAGCATAAATATGCAATAAGAAGCGCATACTTTTAGTTTAAAGGTAAAATCAAATTAATGACCAGATTTCAGTTGCAAAAAGTCCACCTAAACCTATTATCGACAAAGATGACATAAAATGTAGTGTACAAAGTACTGTAAGCTACTTCAAATATGAGTACATGTAGTTTAATAAGTACTGAAAGCAACACTGAATTGTAACCGAACTCCAGTGCCTTAAAATCAGTATTATACCCGTATTTAAAAAACCAGTATTAAAACGATTGGAAGTTAATTTCCGTTGTATAGCCTGAAGTTCAGAATGATTGAAATTTAAAGGAAACTGTGACTGCAAATGTTTGGTATAGTGTATGATCTGATGACCGTTAGCTTTGAGCACACGTAAAACATGAAAAGTCCTTCCTATATATTTAATAAGCGCCCCTCTTCCATTCTTTTTTAGCTAGCTGGTAATGACAAAACTTTAATCAACTCCTATGATTATATATTTTTGTCTTGAATTTATTAAACATAAACTCTTTATTTAAACAGCATCTTTCAGGAACTTCAGTAAATCGAGAGCTATATTCGTGTATTTCATAATTTACTGATTTTATATGCATTTTTCGTTGATTTTAATCCGATAGAATATCACTCCTTTTCAGTACGGTATGATACTTCGATTTACTTTAAAACTTTGACTCGTATTTTGTAATAACGAATGCCATTTTGCCATTTTTTTTATATAGATTTCCTTTTTTCAAAGAAATTGAACCTTGACTAACCAAACAGTACGAGCTTAATGAACTGATTTCACAATTTATTTTTGCTAAACTCCCCTTTACTAACATAATCTTTACCGTTGTCTTATTTTTAAAGATGTTTCATGTATATATTTGAAGACTTTTACACGGATGTCCAAAATGTTATGCTTTGTTGGTATAAGTCGACTTTTGTTATTGTTAAAAAAAGGAGATGAGGTATGATTATCTAATTCCAACAGAGACCAAAAGACGAGAGTAATCCGATTAAAAAAAAATACGTCACAGTACGACTTCAACAAAGAGCGAACCCCATACCGTAAGACATAAAAGCACACGATATGGCAAAATACCGGTATATGAAACAATTTAAAAAGAGAAAATGTTAGTAGTTTACATGATCACATACAGCTTCCAGTTGATAAAGTTGGAACAAAATATCTATCCACGAGACGTAAATGGCTATAGATTGTATAGAGCGTGGAAAGTCAAATTATGCAAAGTTATATTCTTAAACTAGAACCCTAAGGAGCATGTATCGCCTACTGGTATTTAAGCATAACGTGGTGCTGCATGGACACTTTGTGAGCCAACAGCTTGTCTTGCTGATCATTTTAGCTTTTCATGTTTTCTGCATGAAAAATGATATTTGCAAATCTGAACCCTCAAACAGGATCAGTAAAAAAAATAAATGAATTTTTGGAGAGTTCAGAAATGGAAAGGCCAAAATCAATCTAAGTATCACTTTTCGCTACTTAAAGGTCTACAACTCAATAACGATAAAAGCTAAAATCGTTAAAATCGAATTTGGCCTTCATTTAGTCACAGGAAACAACATATCTAAATTTGAAAAGATTTTGTCAAAGCATTTTCAAGTTATTGCACGGACACTGTTTGGCAGCTGGCCGCCCGACCGCCTGCCCGCCTTACATCACCAAATTAATAACCGATATTTTCTTTTGGAAATCCGGTTAAAAATAGTTAAAAATTGTGATTTAGGGATAACGACGGACAACGGATGATAGCCCGAGATTGTTTTGAGATCAGACGACAGCATGGGAGACTTACTTGGGCTGTCACACGGTCCAAGTAAGTCCCAAAAATGGCCGTCAGATAACTTTTTTTGAAGAAATTTCACAGGTCAGAAATTTCAAGAACAACTGGCATGAATGTACGTACATTTTATACATCTATATATTGTTTATTTCATATTCAAATGCAGCTTTCGCCTTCCCTAGTTGCTGGGAATAGAACCCCTCCCATCTCATTCACAGGGTCAAAATCAAACAGCGGATAGAAAATATGGAATTTGAGTAAAGAAGAGACTAGATAATTTTACATTTACCTAAGTTTCAATTTTTTTAAGCTTTATATTGCTCTCGAAGACCATTTTGATAGAATATTGAAAATTTGACTTTTTTTTTATATTTTGCATCAAGAGACATCTGGAACAGAAATTAATCAAGTTTAAACTTATTTTACACTTTACTCCCGATAGAATGTTTGTTTTGGTCTGTAATATCCCTAGTATTCATATTTTTGTAATTGAATATTCAAAATTGTCCCAAATAATAAACTAAAATTACTGTTTGTTTGCATCTTTCAGTAGCAAACCTGATTAGAAATGCAATTTATGGTGTGGGAACCTTCTGAGACTACAGTAATAGAAGTACCAAGAACCTCACATGAAACTACCCCGTTATCTGAGACTACAGTAATAGAAGTACCAAGAACCTCACATGAAACTACCGCGTTATCTGAGACTACAGTAATAGAAGTACCCGTACCAAGAACCTCACATGAAACTACCGCGTTATCTGAGACTACAGTAATAGAAGTACCCGTACCAAGAACCTCACATGAAACTACCGCGTTATCTCAGTGAGACTACAGTAATAGAAGTACCAAGAAACTCACATGAAACTACCGCGTTATCTGAGACTTCTGAAATAGAAGTACCAAGAACCTCACATGAAACTACCGCGTTATCTGGACTATACTGTAATAGAAGTACCAAGAACCTCATGCACATTAATCTACCGCGTTATCTGAGACTATACTGTAAAAAAAAGTACCAAGAACCTCACATGAAACTACCGCGTTATCTGGACTATACTGTAATAGAAGTACCAAGAACCTCATGCACATGAATCTACATCGTTATCTGAGACTATACTGTAAAAAAAGTACCAAGAACCTCACATGAAACTACCGCGTTATCTGAGACTTCTGAAATAGAAGTACCAAGAACCTCACATGAAACTACCGCATTATCTGGACTATACTGTAATAGAAGTACCAAGAACCTCATGCACATGAATCTACCTCGTTATCTGAGACTATACTGTAATAGAAGTACCAAGAATCTCACATGAAACTACCGCGTTATCTGTGAATCCTGACAAAGATTGCGAGACTTTTTGAAATGGACCCAATGTGAAATATAATCAGGGAAATTGATCCAGTCTGATTACAATACAGATTGAGATTTCGTACAAATTCCATCTATCGTGCTTTTGCGAATCGTTAACCCTAAAACGATTAAACTAAACACGGTTATAAAGTACATAATTTGGACGTGGCCCGAAATTGTTCATTCATTTCGAGCTGGATATATAGCTATGAAATAGGATTTAAAATCTAGAATCACTTTTCTATGTAGCTATGATTTAGTTGTTCTTAAACTACACCTGAATGAATTATATCATTCATATTAAGTTTTAAATATCCTTCGGCTTCCGGAAATTCTCTTACTATGGCTTTATTTCGTATTTAAAAAAACCCTGACTGCTGTGACGGCAACAAATTTAGATAAACACAACACGGAGGGGTCTTTCATTCAAATTTGTTCAAAAGAGTATATTAATTTTATTCAAAGTTATAACAAAAATTCACTTTTAAATCTGTGTACTTGATTCCTTCCAAACTGTTGAAATGACATTTGAATGTATTTTAATTGATGAAAGTTAAAGTAATACGATTTATACAAGATTCAGATTTTCATTTATATGGATATTCAAATAAAATTATAATAAAATGTTAGCGGAGTTGCGATATTAGTTCAGGAGATTTATTTTCTTATTTCTGTCCTCCATTTAGATTAATAAGTTATTTAGCATAAGAAAACCTACTGACAATATTACATAACAAACAGAAAAGAATCCCTACAAAGTGTTTTACGTAAATCGTTCGGTCTGAAAATGCGCATTAGGCTATCTGTGATTAAATTATCTTCATATATTGAACATAAATAAATTATGAAACTAAAAATCGCATCATGCTCGGCTTAGCGTAGTAATTTAATTTAAAAGTTTTGAAGTGCATTGAATTCCTATATTTGGCCATAGTTTGACTTCCAATGCGTCAGTGGATATTTTAATATTTCACTTATCATGCTGAAATATATACATAATTCTGTTTTTTTAATGCAGTAAAAATAAATGCATACAAAATATCAATGTATTAGTTTGTAAAATTATTCAGTTCTTAATAATTTGCAGTAATTTTCTACTGGCTGTTTTGGATTTGCTTTGCCCAATTAGAATTGTTCAATCAATCAATGTTAATCAAAATGCTTCTACTTTTGCAAGACTTGTCTTAGACAATGACGGAAAGTCGACGAAAACCTTGACAGTGCGCATGACTAAGGAAACTTGTAAAACATTAGAACTGTTTTAATAAGTAGTTTATTACTCTTTTTTCATCGATGGGTTTACTTTACACCGTGTGTTACAAAATGCTACCTGTTTTCGTTTAGTATGCACGGTTGAACGGAAAATTTTCACCATGAATGAACAATCATTTTTTCAATGGGATTTGGTCCGCCAGCCTCTTCAGGGTCAAGCCTTTGGCATGGGGGCATCCCTTCTTGATTTCAGGTAAGCTTAGCGATAGAAAAAAATATCATTTACATTAAGAGAAAAAATATGAAGTTTATATGTTTGAATATTTTATTAGAAAGCAAAGAAAATAATGAAAATAAATATGATAATAAACATAGAGTGTACGAAACCTGCATAAATGCATGCTAGTTGAAAAAAAGTACTGATTAACGAATACTGTTGTAAATAAAATCATCAACGTTCAGAAATATTTTTTTTCAACTACATATGATGTATACATTTATGCCTAAATTTCAATTTGATTTATGTCAATAGTTTACTCTTCTAGCATACGTAATCGGATCATTATTATACCAATTATACATTTTATTATACTTAAAGCACGATAACTATACTCCAGGATAAATTCCACTCTGGAAAATGGCATAACTGTTAAGAAATTTCAAACTTCAAAAGTAAATTATATTCTTGCGAATGAAAACAGGTATACCAAATTTTAAATGTACATCCAAAAAAACTAACTGTTTTAATTACATTGAAAGTACAAAAATTGTTTTAACCTTATCTAATTAATAATCCTAATGAAGCTCCAAGGACATTAGTTGCATTTTACCGTCTTGACATTGTCGTGAATTTTTGTTCATCCATTAGTGATTTTGAACTTGAAATTCTGTCTATTTAAAACGAATTTCATTCCGAAAAGAACAAAAAAATAAAGTGTTAATTTGAAAGCAAAATATCGAAAGACTCTTTACTGAACACAAAACGAAGCGTGCAAACAGACATAAAATAATTCGTTTATGTTGTTTTATTTCAATTGAATTATAAAAATGCATAAATTACTAGAAAATACCCTTCACTTCTATCCTAAAAACTGAATATCTCTTTTACAACTGACTTAAGTTTTTACATATATAGCCAGATACTGTTACGTTATCTAGGTTTTAAACTCTCTTTGCTCCATTTGGTATAGAATTATACGGACACTCCAAATTTTATGTATTTATTTCTTGAGTATCAAAAGCTTTTTAAAACCTCGTAGAAAATAAAACTGTTGATTTATATTGCTTTTATTGATTGACAAAATGGCAGTACCGATTTGTTTAAAAATTCAGGATCAGACACTGATTTCAGATTTAATTTTTATTAATTTCTATCTAATATACAAAAATCTGATATGTAACGTAGTGATTAATGAATTAAACACATTTGTCATTACGTAAATGAATGCCTTTTAGTTGTGTTTGTGAACTATCCGTCGTTGTTTGACAGTTGCAATCGTTTATTAAAAAAAAAGTAAATAAAACAAATTCCAATTTAACCTCAAGATTAAACAATAATCTAACAAAGAGATCCTCCCTTATTATTCATGTGTCCTGTAAGTGTAATATCATTCATCTCTAAGTCAAATTTATTTTTAATGAGAATAATACAACGAATATATTAAATTTAACAATTTTCAGGGGTTGAACAGCCTTACGTCAAAAACAAACGAACCGTATTTTACATGTAAAAGTTTCAGTCTCAAATTAATTCCTAGTGTTGCAAATATTTTCTTGTCCTGCTTGTTTTCAGAATAATTTTGACAGTTGGAGAAAATAGGTTTTACATCTCGGGTAAAAATTTGTGGGTTTTTCCCATTCTGCCATCTGTTGCATGATGGGTAGCACTAGGAGAGCAAAAACTGCTTTAATGACCTTATCTGAGCACTTCATATATCTCCGGGGAATTGATTGAAATTCGTTTTCAATCTATATATACTATGTTTTCTGTGTATATTGTTTTGTCGGCTTTCTTTTCGCCACGGAGTTAAATGTCGTTCTTAGACTTATGATTTCTTTATTGTCCCCATTTTATTCTCTTTCTTGTTTGTATGCTATTACGAATGAAATCTCAATTCGGAGTAGAACAATGAATTGAAAGAGTTTTTTAAAATATATTTTCCTTATTTATCGTTACACATATTGTATTATTATTGATTAGATTGTATACATTTATTATTTTAAAAAACTGTTCAGATGCAATTTTGATTTAAAGATTTTGTAATGAAATGATAATTCAGTCACGCCCATTTAAATTTATTTAATAATCAGAATGAAACAAATAAAACAGCCGTCATAAAATTAAACCAAACAAAAAAGTTATTACAAAAAAATGGAAGAAAAAAAAACCAAATTAAACAGACAGCCAAATTAATTTTGTGATGTCAGTGAAATTTGGGCGCTTTTCTGGATTAAACTTCACTAGGAGCGTTCAACAACAAAAAATTGAAAGCAAAGGATTTATAAATACGTTATAATTCATTCGCTGTATGCTTTCATAGAAATAGACATGGTTTAAACAAGGACCTCAAAGAGGACAGTAAAATGAACTGTGATGCAAACATTACCGTTCGCTCACATTAGAAGCAGGATACCAGGAGAGGATATTGGAACTATGAAAAGTCCATTACTATATTGGACATCTGGAACTGTAGTATAGGGATATCGCAGAAGTTTAGATATACACGTTGTCTGCATGTCTTTTGTTAAATGGACGATTTCAGTGTAAAAAGTTTGATAAGTGTGGTTTTTTTTTTGCGAACCGGTGGATAAAACGGTTGATTGTTATTCATATCAGGACAATATCAGAAAATTATCAACATTTTTGTATGAGGCTTTGAAACATGGGAAGGGCAAGGATTTACCGAAACCTTATATGTAGCTCCATAACGAGGCGGGCGCCCGCCCTTCCCCCTAATTCCGCCTCTGGTTTCTTGCCGAAAACAAAAAATGTTGCTATTTTTCTGACATTGATCTAATATTGTTTTTTATCTGTTCTTCAAGATCACTAGTCAAACATAAACAACCATTTCTTTATTCCTCTTAACCGTGCATTGAAATATTTATTTTCACAATCATTTCTCTTGGAAAAAAAGTCGTTTAATTTCCCCTGTAATAGGCATAAAACAAATATTTGTCTCATTATTACTCTTTGTGAAGGAATTATAGAATATCTGTCAAACCAAATAAATGTGATTTGAAGCATACTATTAAATCATTGAAGAATTAAACGAACAGTATACCCCCCCCCCCCCGTGTGTTCTATGACAAAACTTTGTTGAAAATAATCAGTTTTCAATTTAAACATTTTAAAAATTGTGAAACCATATGTTATTATCTTAGTTACCGTTACTATCTAATCCAGAGGTACTACCAAATGTTAAATCAAAATGTGTTATTTTATAAATAAAAAAAATCCTGTAATATTTCAAGTATGCAACAATTTGATTTTGTACCTTTTTTTTCATTTAAAGAGTACAAGCGTTCTTATACAATGTACAATAACCAGGACTCAATCATCGATAAAAGGTCGGTCCAGTTCAGTTTGACACTGTTGGACAAATAAAAAAAAAATCATTTTACCAAAATAAAAAAAATATTCCGCTTTACGTGAGTACTTTGAAGTTTTGAAAACATTATGTCGTAGTATACTGAATATGAAACCAAATTTTAGATGCGTAAAGATGGCACAAAGCTGTAGTTTTGAAAGATTTTGGCGAATTTTGAGCAAAATGAACAAGCACAACTTTAAACAAAACCCAATTTCTATCGGAAAATATAGCTATGTATCAAATATCTTTCGGAAACAAGTTTATTTATCTTTGTCATGCATGTCATTCGATGCAAAATTTGGAAAATTGGTAATTATATGTCGATTTATATATACAGCAATGCATAGCACTCGATAAGATTTATAGAAAAAAAATTTTGTACACATGGTTAAAAAAAATAGTTCGAGTATATTGTTAAGACCTTTAATAATAGAGTTCCATAAAGTTTCCTCAACTGTCGGAGTTTGACTCCTGAAGGGAAACAAATTCAGAGAAAACCACAGGCGCGTGGGGCATGGGTCTATTTTTTTTTATCATTTTCTGTGCCACACTTGTGTTTTCGACAAGAAATCTTCATTGTTTCTGTTATTTATTTATTTTACGTGTTCTTGTTATTTTTTTCTTTAACTATATGGTAGCAATTTATAGCTGCCGCTCGCTTCTTTTATTTCCCACACAATCTTGTATTCCTGGTAGCAGTTAATATCTGCCGCCCCTCTACTCTTATTTTCCACACAATCTTACGTTCTTGGTAGCAGTTTATATCTACCGCCCCTCTACTCTTATTTTAAACACAATCTTACATTCTTGGTAGCAGTTTATATCTGCCGCCCCTATATTCTAATTTTCAATACAATCTGACATTATTTGTTTCTATCTTCCTCCCCAGTATTCTTATTTTCAACACAATATTACATTGGTAGCAGTTTATATCTGCCGCCGAACATTCTTTTTTTCTACACAATCTTACATTCACGGGTAGCAGCTAATATATATGTGTCGTCACTCAACTCTTACTTTCCGGACAGTCTTACATCGGATGCACTTTGTCTGCCGCCCTTATGGAACATCATTAAGGGTAGATCGAGGGCGGCATATTTTAAAGGAGGTTCAAGCCCCAAATGTCTTAAAGGAAAATTGACGAAACCTCTTTCCCATGAAACCGTAACAGCAACGGTGTGAAACACAGATTGTTCTTATAGCAAAACACAAATTTCTGAAAGGACAAGCATCCCTCCAATTCACTGAATCGTTGTTACAATGTACGTTTCCATGCCAGTATGTTTGCCAGTGGACGTTAGGAAACCAACGACCAAATTACCTTTTGTAAGATACATTAGTTATTATTTGTATTTGCGATTGGTACCAGCAGGTTACCCAGTAAAATTTTAGGTGCATAGGTTCTGATTAGGAGTATAGGTAAAAAGGATCATTTGTTAAGTTTTATATTTGATAAAATCGACAAGCAAGTTCGGTAACTCTAAATGTAAGTTTCCTTATTCATTCAAATCAGCCATTATTAATGTCAAAATTTTATATTATTCACAAATGATTCCTTCTCAAATAAATGTGCAGTATAATGTATCCAAACATAGGATGTGGCTTTGTTATGTAAAATAGTATATTCAATGAACATTTGCTGTGGAATACCTGTACAGGTGTA